CTTGCAACATTTCAAAGAAATCATTTCACGTGAGGTGCATAAAGTTAAAGAACTCGCCACCCTCTATCTGTCTTCTCTTAAAAATGGGACTGTTCTAGGGAATGTATTATATTCTACAGGAATATGTGAAGAATATAATAATGATTGGGATTGTATACTCCTTAACTTCGAAGAGTTACTACCTACGAGGCTACCTAGGTTCAATACCAAAGGTATTCGAAGAATGCTACGAAAGCAAATCAATATTCCTACCACCAAGAAACAACTTTGTACAAGCCTAGGCCTCTGGTATGGAAGGAATCCACGTCCATTACGACATAAGGATACAAATGTATATAAAGGTATCAGATTTATCAAATAAAAATTTCACCGGAAAGAGACTTGTCGGGCGATCACATGCATGGAAATTGAATCTGATGATGGTGGTGTTGAAGAGACATACGAAGCTAATGATTATGATGATCAATCCGTAGAGGCCAAGCCTGCACCAGAAGAGCTTGAAGATGGTGGACAGGCAGCCACTATGGATGAGATAAAAGAAGTCAATTTGGGAACTAAGGAATACCCTCACCCAACCTTCATTAGTTCTCTCAAACCCGAAGAACAAATAGGAGAAATAAAAGAACTTCTCTATAAATTTAGGGGCTGCTTTGCCTGGACATATGCTGAGATGCCTGGCTTATCCCCTAATGTAGTAGTTTGCATATTAGCAATCAAACTAGATATAACACTCGTCAAGCAAGCTCCAAGGAGAATGAGATTGGAGATAGAAGAACAGGTGATTGCTGAAATGAAGAAGCTCATAGAGATGGGCTTCATTCGAGATAAAAAATATTCCAATTGGATTATCAATATTGTCCCTATAAACAAGAAGAATAGATAGATGTCTGTATTGACTTTAGGGACCTCAATAAGGCATGCCCGAAAGATGACTTTTCGCTTCCCGTATCCAAACTATTAGTGGATAACACGTCCAACTATGACATATTCTCATTTATGGACAGATCATAATTATAATCAAAACAAAATAGCTCATGAAGATGAAAAGCACACGTCGTTCAGAAGACCCATCGGGATTTTATACTACACAGTCATGCCCTTTGGCCTGAAGAATGCTGGTACCACCTATCAGTGAAAAATGACTCACATATTTTATGATTTGATGCATCAGAAGGTTGAGTGCTATATAGATGACCTTGCTGTTAAAAGTATTGGCCGAAAAGATCACTTAAAAGATCTCAGAATTGTATTCGAGAGGATCAGAAGACATGATCTAAACATGAACCCCCTCAAATGTGAATTTGAGGTCTCCTCTGGAAAATTCATAGGGTATGTGGTTTGTCACCGAGGAATCGAGATTGACCCTAACAAAATTAAGGCGATCACGGAGATGCCACTACTAAGGAACCTTCGACAGCTTCACTCACTGCAAAGACAACTAACTTTCATTCAGAGATTCATATCAAATCTATCAGGTAGGTGTTAGCCATTTCAAAGCTAATGAAGAAAGGCATCCATTTCAAATGGGACGCAGAATGCCAGGAAGCGTTTGACAGCATCAAAAGATATCTATTGAATCCGCTCATTCTCACAGCGCCAATTCCAGGGAAGCCTCTTATACTATATACAGCTGCACTAGAACAGTCCCTCGAAGTACTATTGGCCCAGAATAATGAAGAAGGAAAAGAAAATACGCTCTACTATAATAGTCGTATGTTTATTGGAGCAGAAAGCCGTTATTATCCTATTGGAAAGCATTGTTTATCGTTGATTTTTGCAGTTCAAAAGCTTCGCCACTATATGCTTTCACACAGAATCACCCTGATATCAAAGATCAATCCGTTGAAGTTCTTGATGACAAGACCAGTGTTGACAGATCATCTAGCCAGATGGGCAGTACTATTACTGCAGTTTGATATCACATACATGCCACAAAAGACAGTGAAAGGACAAGCCTTGGCAGATTTTCTCGCTGCACATCCTATTCCAGCATACTCTCCACTAAATGATGATTTGCTTGACAAACAAATCATGTAAGTTGAGGAGAATGAAAAGATACTATTATTGGAGATGTACTTCGATGGAGCATCATCAATTAAACATGCCCGACCTCCAAATATTACAAGAGCCCGAGTCGGCATCGGTCTTGTTCTTATACCACCCGAAGTAGGCATAATGAGGTTTTCATTCAATTTGACTGAATCTCAAACCAACAATGATGTCGAGTATGAAGCTCTAATAGTAGGGTTAGAGATTGTGATCGACGTCAAAATTCAAAATCTTCAAATCTTAGCTGACTCTCAACTAGTGATAAATCAAGTCTTAGGCATTTACAAGATTTGTAAGGTTGAGTTAGCTCATTATCACCAGCAGACCCTTGAGCTCCTAAAGCAGGTGTCGAATGTTAAAATAGTTCAAATTCCTGGAGGATAGAATGCCAAAGCAGATTGCTTAGTCAAATTGGCTAAGGAAATGGAAAGTTCAAATGAGGAGAAGCCTATATTCATCAGAGTTTACAACTGTCGGATCTTAGAGCCCACTTTATTACAATTCCCGATGATAGAAGTACCGGATTCAAATCAGCAAGAAATACTTCCAGTTGATCTTCAACCTCTCCATCAAATCATTATGAAAAATTATCTTGAAGGATATCATATGGCCAAGAGATGTAAAGCTAGTCAAGCTTCAGAATCATGGTGGCATTGTTTAGATATTGAAGTCAAAAATGGTTGGAGCCAGCCATTCATTGACTACTTCAAAGAAAATAAACTCCCAACAAAAAATTCTATGGCTGCATAATTCCGAAAAAGGGCGTTGCGATACGCATTTGTCAATGATACGTTATACAAATGATCTTTTGATCATATATGGCTAAGATGCCTAGGGATCAAGGAAGCTGATAAAGTGGTAGCAGAAGTCCATGAAGGGCTTTGTGGAGTACATCAGTCAGGTCCTAAGATGGCTGCTAAAATCAAAAGAATGGATTACTATTGGCCAACCATGGTTAGAGATTATATTGACCATGCTAAGAGGTGTCATGAATGTCAAATCCACGGTGATGTTATACATCAGCCTTCAAATACTTTGCTGGGGTACTGATATTATCGGGCCAATAGATTCGCCATCATCAACAGGACACCGCTTCATTATGGCAACAACGGACTATTTTTCTAATTGGGTAGATGCAGATCCATTCAGAGAAGTTACGTCCAAACACATGATTAACTTTTTCACACATAACGTCGTGTACATATTTGGTGTGCCACGCAGCATAATCTTAGACAATAATACTACATTCAAAAGTATAAAAATCTATAAGTTCATTGATAGGCACAAAATTTATTGGCGATATTCATCCATATATAATCTAAGGGTAAATGGATTAGCAGAAGACTTCAACAAGACGTTGGTGAAATTATTGAAGAGATTCTCACCAAAAATAAAAGGGAGAGGCATACGAATATGGCAGAAGTGTTATGGGCCTATCATACAAACTACAAAACACCAACTAAATCCACTCCTTACTCTCTAGTGTTCGGTGTGGAAGCCATATTACTATTGGAGATTGAGCAATTGTCACTTCAGGTAGCAGTTAAGAATGATCTCAATCAAGAACAAAATGCCCGCCTCAGAATGAAAGAGCTTGGCATACTTGATGAACTCAAGTTATAAGCTCAACAAAATCTGGAAATCTATCGAGAAAGAATGGCAAAATCCTTTGATCAGATGGTGCACCCTCAGACATTTCAAGAAGGGGAATTGGTCCTTATGCTGAGAAGACCAATCATCCCACACCGAAGAATCAGTGTAAAATTTGTACACAACTTGGAAGGCCCCTTCATCATCGAGAAGGTGTAGCAAGGAGGAGCTTATCAATTGATCAATTTGAATAAATATTTAAAATTATAAATTAAAATGTTCTTTTGTGCTAAAGAATACAACGAATTCTTTTTCAAAGTATATGTAGGTGATCTTTTAAAAGTTCAAGACATCACCTTCTATAATGAACAAAGACTTAAAAGTTAAGAAAATGACTTTTGTGGCTACACACTCCTATAAAATTGAGCCAAAGAAGCTTGAAGTCTTTTGACAGCCTGAAGCTTAAGATTCGAATGGGTTTAAAAGGTCGGATCCAACACGCCCAAATATGGCCGGATAGCTGGTAGCTCCATCTACTCAACAAGCCATAAGAAAGGCTGTAGTAGAGGAACTCCCATCTCAACAACTAGAGGACAAAGAGCTATCAATTTCTAACTCTTCCGATCTGATGAACTCAAATGATTCAGATTAAAGTCTTCTCAAGTGGTTAAGGATCAAGATACTGCCTACGTTCGGTACTATCAATTGAATCCAAAACCTGCAAATCCTTCAACAAATCTGCAAAGCATTAAGCGAGGATCGAAGAAACTTTTCTTCAATAAGTCCGCTGAAGCATAAAGCAAATGACCGAAGAAACTATCCTAAAGTTCATAAAAAACCTAAGGCCAAACTAAAAGGATTCTATCATCAACAAGTCTGTTATGCACAAAACTTTTGACCGATGACTTTTTGCCATCGACCTAACACACCTAAGGGTTTAGGTCATCGGCATCTACTCCTTCATCAAGCCCACAAAAGCAAGAAGCATAGGGCCGAAGGTACAAATCTCCTGACAAGTTAGTAGGGGCAAATCAGGAAATTCTTCATCAATGTTTGTAGCACAAAGCACATGATAGAAGAACCAAAAATCTTAAGACTCAAACTAAAGCCGTAGAATGAGCACCCTGGATGATACCTACAAATGTCTTTAAAGATTGGGAGCATGTTAAATTTTTATTTAAGTCGACATCACACAGCATGCTAAGATCCCCAAATAAATATTTAAAATATCATGAGCACAAGTTAGAGTACAACTACATAAATCTCAGGAACAGTAAAAAGAGCTCTCGTCAACAACTGAATTTATAAAATAATTTTATTTATTAAGTTCAAAATTCATATACAAATTTGTGGAGTACATCTTTTTATAAGATTACATCAACTGAAAGAAAAGGAAAAGTATAATGTCCTTCACAGACGATAAAAATCTATCTTCTAAACTATAGTTGAAGAGGAAGTCCACATCCTTGTTCTTCTCCTTCCAAAGACCTTGTATTTTGCACTTATAGCACCTGCACAAAGAAAAAGAGAAGTCAACAGAAAGAAGAAGAATCATAAAGAACATATGTAAGAGACTACAAAAAGAAATTTGTACCTGAAACAGAGGTCTCTTGAGGTGGCTCATGAAAAAGTATCCCACTCCTCTTGAAACCTGCATAGAGCAGTAAAAACAAATATCAGTAAGAAGCTAAAAAAAAAAGAAGAAAAGGGAATAGTACAAACAAAGTAAAAACATACCAAAACTAAAGATTCATGCGGTACTAAACTGGCTGAAGCTTGGATCCTCTTCCTGTAGCAGCCTGAATAAAATATAAAGCATTATTAGTATGAGCAAAAAATTAAAACTAATAAGAAGGGAAGAAAGCGTACCTGAACCCAAACTAATTTTAGAAGGCCTGAAGCAGCAAGAGTGCTGTAAACTGTAAAGAAAGATGCGAGCATTCAAGATTATGCTGAAATAAAAATGACTGTGGTGCCAAAAGAAGAACAGAAAGTGGCAGTGATATATACTATCGCCAATCTACGAAATAACATTCTAAGTATTTGAATATGAAGTACTTTATCACCATCCTGTGGATCTCTATTTGACAAAGAGAAAATATATCAACTATACTAAAAATCACAAGTGCATCTAAAGATCCATGAAGACAAAGTGATAGACTAATGGAGATCTATAGAATGAAAATCTTAGTGTGTCATCCAAGCAAAATTTTGGAGATCTACTAAATGTCTTAGTGTGACATCTAAGTAAGCTTTTGGAGATCAACTAAATGGAAGCCCTAATGTGACATCTAGAATAAAATACTTAGAGATCCACAGGGTTAATCAGCATACAAATAACGTGATTCGCTCTAGAAGCATATCATATTTGTTGGGGGGCATTTGTTGACCTCAAAGACAAAACAAAGAATCTACATCATACCTGTAGAATCCGAAAAACCCGTTAAAATCCCTCCAGTTGCTACAGGGCTATTCTCTGCAAACGGTGCCGAACCAGTCCGGATATCCCGCGAGAGTACCTCATTTATTTCATTGATCTCATCGTTAAAAGGGAACCCAAAGGAAGCTTTCGGTTCTGCTCTCTCCCTCACACACGCAAGATCCTGCATGTACTCCTCTCCTTCCCCAAGCCGAAACCAAGCTCTTCCATTCCAATCGCTTCCTTCTCCTCTCCACCCGACCCCATCCAACCAGAGCTCTTCCTTGGCTCCCGAAGGCTCCGGCCCTCCTCCGATTCCCTCACCTCCTATTCTCTGTGGAGCCTTCGGCCAGCCTGGTCCCCATCCCCTCCGTCCAGAGAGAGAGAGAGAGAGGGATCTTCTTCTCCCTACCTGGAGCCGAGACCCGCCTCCCCTCTCCGACTTCGCTCCTACTTTCCCTTCCTTTCGGTTCAAAAGTTTCAACATTTTGATTTGGAGCAACAGCGTGAGCTCGCTTGCTTTGAAGGTGAGTTTCTCCCCTTCGTGCTCCCCTTCGGCCAATTCTAGTGAGCTCGCCGAGATACAGATAGAGGAAAGGGAGAGAGTTTACATAATTTTGATTAAAATTAATGTTGATTAATTTTAATTAAAATTAATATTAATCATTAATTAATTTTAGTTAATTTTAATTAAAAAAAGGCGTGTTCTGTTGACGTGGCGGGTAGGCGGCCTCTTGGTTTTTCCCCTTAACGGGGGAGATGCCAGGAGGCTGCCAAAATTTGGATCAAAGATCCAAGGACTTGGAACTACGCTCAGAACTCAAAACAAATGACTAAAGAAGGGCTTGAACTTAAATAAATGAAATTGAAAAGAACAAGGTGAACTTTGACATTGAGCTCAAACACAGTGGACATGAGTTTGGACTTTAACATTGCAAAATAACAGGGGCTCGAACTGAAGAGGCTCATATTGTGCCTGAATTTTATTTGAACATGTTTTGGACTAGAACTTGTGTCTTGAACTCAAAAAAAATAATGAACCTAAACTCAACTTGAACTCAAACTTGGGCTTGGACTCATTTTCAAATAAAAAAAAAGAGCTTTGACTCAACTTGGACCTGAATGAGAATTAAAAAGATCATGCTATAACTTGAAATCAAGTGGACTCAGAGCAAAGGAATGAAATATTGGACGTAATCCAACTACATGCAAATAAGAGTTTAATGAAAATGTAATCAAATAGCAAACGATCATCATCCAAGTATCAATTGACATTCATGATTACTCAATTGAGATCAAATGGAAGATGTATGTTCAAGTCACCAAATTGTATATTGGACCTTTAAATGACAAATCATTGACCAATGAGCTTATTACTCTACACAAGAATCATGATTGAGGCAAAAAGTGGTGAAACTAAACTAACTCAAGCTCTCTAATTAAGTTGATATCCATGCGATGATTGAATGAGGAATGTGATAATGAGCTTGCAAACCATCATTAATATGGAGAAAATGGATAATACAATGACATGTTCATAAGCAACAGTGCAAACTCTCAATGATATCAAGAGGCCATAGTGTGCTTACAAGTGAAAGTGGAAAGGTTGTAGTGAATACAAAATCATGTGGCACTAGAAGATATGTGATTGCATAACGCTACATTAACAAACAAAAAAATGAAACCATGATTTGTATATTAATGAGTCATAACTCAAGTATAAGTGAGCATGTATAAACATGGCTCATTTGTAACAATCAATAATGAATTGAGTGTAAGCTTGAACCAAATGCAAAGAACTCAATCCTGAATAAATAAACATAAACAATTGAGCCCTCACTTGATGAATACATAAGTGAAATGCAAGTGAATGCATATGAATTTTGTGAACCAAGGGATTTGAAAGTATGACTCACTTAATAATAGTGAGGACACCACATAATTTCATTGAATTATGCAATTTGCACATACGCAACGTACAATGAAATTCAATAAGCTTGAAGTATTTGAATTCTCATAAATAAATACATGAACAAGTACTACAAATCATACAAGGATGATAATGGCGACACTTGTATAAATCATGTAAGCAAGTATTCATTATGAACGAAGCATCAATACAACTTCCTTGAGTATATCAATTGATGAAGTTGAAGGAAGATACCACAATACATAAAGATCTGCAATGCATACAATCTCTCTAATGATATAGATGTATGTATAACGTGCCACCTCTGTGTATATACATAAAGACTATAGTAAATGCAGTATCATGTATTCAACTTAAGTCTAAGGATGAATACATCTACCTCCAACAATAGTGGATGTATTGCAAAGACCAAAATCATAGCATAATGCATAAAGAATACAAGTTCCTATGAGCTTCTACAACCTAAGGCAGGAGATTAGTTAACCCACAGAAAGCAACGAGTAGTGCACGATAGTCTACCTGTACGAAGCAGCGAATAACTCTATTCAAAAGTTGCTACAGCACGCCACCGAATCCATAACATCTATGCAAGCAGATAGAAGGTGTCTACAAATACTTTCAAAGTACCCCTCCCATGCACCGTAGTTTATATACACATAGGTATACTAAAAGGGGTAAAAGCAATCATAAAACCAGTAAGGGACCCGACAAGCGTGTTATTGGTACACACGTGACGTCTAGGGATGCTACGCGGGTTATTAAATTTGAACCCGATCCTTCTAAGTAAATAAAAGGAGTTGACAGGGTTCAATTAAAAAATGCCCCCCAAACACCCACATGGGTCCCAGTGAGCAGGTTGTAGAAACACATGTGACGTCTAGGGATGCTGCACGGATCAATAATTTAATTCAAGTTCGAGCCCGATCCTCCTATGCAGGCAATCAGGAGTTGACGAGGCTCAAACCCTTTAAATGAATATCAGATCATGAGGTCAACTGATATATTTATTTTATACATTCATATTAGTCTTTTAAGGCCTATAATCAAAAGAATTCACTCACAAAGGTATAAAGCCTACGAAACTTGATCCTCTATCGACAGCTCGATAGAGTCGACATGGTTTATCCATAAAAAAACAAATATTTTCAAGTGGAAATGACCCCATGAACACCCTGATGATGGTCGTGTTGATTGAAAATCTTAACTGGAGGGGTTAATTTTAGACGTTTTCAAATTTCACTCAAAAATCCAGACACCCGCATAGGCCCCAGTGAACATGTTATTGGTATACATGTGACATCTAGGGATGCTGCGCGGGTCAATAAGTGAATTCTAGTTCGAACCTGATCCTTCTATATGGATCAATAGGAGTTGACTGGGTTCGAACCTTCAAATAAAAACATGGTTGTAACGACCAGTGTATTTGTTTTAATATATTTATATTATGTTTTCAAGGCCTATGCTCATGAGAATTCACTAATAAAGGCATAAAACCCATTAAATATGATCCTCTATTGACGAGTAGACAGAGTCGATAAGGTTCAATCCAAAAAGTAGAAATGCCCCCAAAAACTCCGATGATAGTCATGTTGAATGTTTATCTCAACCGGAGGGGTTCACAAATAATGCCTCCCAAAAGTCCATTCAAAATCCAAAACTCCACAAAGTCCAAAATTCAACAAATCCTAAATTCCAAGATTATTAAATTGAAATCCATCCATCAAATCAATTAATGCAAAATCCATCGACCCTCCATAACAATTTGCCGGGGTGGACAAATTAAAAAACTACTTCAGCTCACAAAGAGCCAAATGCCTAGTTAAAAATATCACTAGGATCCATTCTCAAACAATCTCTTGCCAGTAAAGATGTGATACGTATCCTCTAACCGACAGTTTTATCGCCAAATGGCACCGCAAGATAAACAGTTATGACATGGGGCCCTCTGAACTGAGTTGTTTTGCCTCCAAATGGCACCACGAAATATCAGTTATGACCAGAGCCAATACATTCCTTAGTGGCATCAAATCCTTGAGATATAAATCAATAGGATATGATTGATAGGGTACAAAGCCCTCTGTAAGCTAAGGTAGATTCAAATTTGTCCCATTAGTCAAACATTCACCCCATGTCTATAAGGTACCCTTGGACGAAGCAACCCATGGCTACCAACAAGGATCCTTCTGTCAGGTTGGGTCGACTACCTCCTCTGACTAAGTAGACCAGGGACCATGATGGCCCGGGATGACAAAACCATGGGATCTTGATTGGGTTCATCATCCATTCTCCCACCATCCGCTTTAAGTGCTAGATGGTGAAATTTCTACTTTTAAATATCAAATTTTCTCAAATATACCAATCCAAATCTTCAAATTTTCAAATCCATTACTTCTGCTATATGCCAGATAACATGTATTCTCTATGTATCTGATCGACGACTAGCCTTAATCGAAAGTTTTCTCTCATTATCGGGAGGGATAATTAACTATAGGGGCTTGCGCATATATGAAACAAGAACTCAGATCATAAAGTCCTTGCAAAATGAGGGCAAAATTTCTGGGTAGTGTCTTAT